TCACGTTTCAATAAAAAGAGCCAACAATCATGTCCAAGAAACACATTTGAAGTAACAAATAATCTTTCACTAATGCCTAAGAGAATTTAATATCAAAGCCGACATATATCAATATGTGGTGGACGATAATAATATTAAGTTCTGACTCCTTTATATGTTTCTATAATATCGTATACATAAGAATGTTGTATATTTTGTGTAGAACATTCTAAATATATAGAAAGTGTAGTGCTAACACAGATCTTCGTCGCCCGCAATTGCTGAACGTAGTAAAAAAAACTTCCGCTACAAACAGCACAGCTGATCTGTAGTATCGACACACACAATTATATATATATATAACTAGTTCTAGTACAGAGATAATAAATACGCAAGAATCCCTGAAATTGTATGCGAATGCTCACCGGTGTAGGGTATAAAAAAAAATACTTTGATCACGATAACGTGGTAATCACGATACCACGAAATTGTACAGAATAAGACTCGCCTTGGACGACTTATGAATCGTGAATCGCAGTTAAGCGTATTCCTATACTTACTACGAGTGGATGAACTACCTGCTACTTTTTACCTAAATCCAACCTAACGTGCAGCGTTTGTCCACGAATGTAATATATGATAATTATAAAACATCGCAAGATAAAAGGTCAGGAAAACTATGACCAAGGCCATTTACACCAGTGATATGACTAAATACTGAGACATTAGAATATCGTATCGAACAAACGCAGCAAAATTTCGCTTAAATTATTTTTTTCTCTAAATAAACTTGCAGCGCGAATAAATTGTGTCTATTATCATAGCATACTTCAAAAACTTGGCACAAATTAAACAAGAAAAGTCACTAGTCATAGCAAAATTATCATTATTTTTATAATTACGCAATATACTATCAAACGTTATCGTCAACATCTATAAGCAATACATTTAGAAATGAATGAAGTGAACAAACAAAAACTACTGCACTAACGCCTGCGTGTATTATAAGGATACTTATTCGAGCAATAGAAATAATCTGAAATTGATGCGAATTTAAAAAAGCGTTTTTTTTTTCTCTTTATTTGGTTGCGTAGCTTGTTACTAGTGAGACTTAAACCCAAATCGACGATGCTTGACATAGACAATAGATGTGGAAAGAACGCTGAATAACTTTCATGATAGATAAATACTGTTATAACAAGCGTGCGAAGTGCAAACTGTACTAGGATGACAAAGAGCACAATAGCTTTATACGGCTTTACGTAAAATCCCCTATTATAATCCCATTTTCAAAAAAATCTGACAAAAGACAAACCGTATCTACCGAAGAAGATCAGTCTTAGAAGATAAAGCAAACAACAAGCATGCACAGCTACCACCCCGGCCAACCAATATATGCTATATCCCAATTTATACCAAAGCGGAATGGCATATCATTTCTCTAAAATTGTCTATCTTTACTAACTAAAAACAACCAACTTCGTATGTATACAACATTTCACTATATTCAATTGTTATTTCACATCTGCCACACAAGCCGATGCACACCGACCGAATCCTTCACTGGCATTGCCAACCCGTATTATTATATACAAATGTCTAGGATCAGCGTTAGTGAAGAAGTGGTTATTTTTTTTTTGTCTATCGACGCTGTCGTTTGTTGTTGTTGCTGTCGCTGTTGCTGTTGTTGTAACTTTTTTAGACGTTTCTCAATGAACTCATTAGAATACTGGGTGCACCCTACGGCACGTGTTTCCTGCACGATTTTAGTGCTGCCCGGAAACGACACGCCGTCGCCTTTTCACCACGGTAATGGATGGGGAGAGGTGGGTCGCCGTGAGACACGGAAGCGTTTAACGGACGATAATTTTGTTGACAATTCAGAAAAATTCTAGCTGGTTACTTTCTTGAAATTCAATTTTGACAGAGTCATCGATGATTATTATCACACTTCGGCCGTCTTGTACGATGGTACTGATTACGCTAATCACATTCCCTGCTCGTTATCTCTATCGTGTCACAAAATTTATTGCCGGAAGACTTGCATCGGGATTAAATAAATAATAGCACTAGTACTTTCGGGAGTTAAAATTTAATGGCTTCCGTTTTTGTCCCCACAAGTGTTGTTTTCATCATTGAGATTGGAGTCTATTCTTAATATTGATTTTTTATGCTCTAGATAAGGTTTCCTACAGTGCACAACCCTTGAGCCGCCAAACCGTCGTCAATAAAGCATCGTCCGAATGGCTGAATGCGTTCTAGTAGTAAAGGTTGTTATCGTAATCATTCGTTTTATCTGAATTCCTAAAAACCGTGTCGCAATTTCAATGTGTTTCTACCAGAGGAAATTGAAAGTGTCTCCTGTCAAACAGTTAATATCGCTGTCCAACGCTTGGGACGGCAAACATGTGACCGTTGGGTTATTATCAGTTCGCCCATAGCTGCGAAATATTGAAGGAAGATCCCTCATCCGATTAGAGATGCGCTCGCACGATTTGGTGATACAAGTTCTCATCGAGTGTATAATATACAATAAACGTAACAAGACCTCGAGGGCATTACGATATATCAGGTCAGTGGCGAGATTGGTTAACAAAACACGCACTAATAATGATTCTGCCAACTGATAGCAAATCCAGAACTCAGTCAATATGAAGTATCACTACTGTAACATTGCCAACCGCATCTTATTGCGCTGCCGCTAAATTTTTCCTACGAAAATTTCTAGCTAAACAGTCAGCCGGTGTTATGATTTTGAACAGATTTGCCTGAACAGCGCTAGAGGAACGTTCATGGTTTGATCATCCAGCAAGACCATGTCATAATTATCTAAATAGGTTTCGAGGCGCTGTTCAATTTCGTGGTCGAGGAAGCCGATACGCAGGAGCGTGCTGTTACCTGTCGGCGGTGGCGAAATGCCGGGTGCGCCATCAGCCATTGAACAGTCGCCTAATGAGTCGCCCATGAGAATCGCATTGCATCGCTTTCGAATCCGCGTACTGGCGAAGTACTCGCTGGCTGGCGGAAATTTCGCGTTTTTATTGTACATATGCAACAGTTGGTCGCTGAATTTTAGTGGTGCCCCCTATAACGAATATGGTTACGAGCAAAAAAGCAAAAACAAACGGAAAAAAATTTGGTATGTTGTTGATGCTCGTATAAAAAAATTAATACGAGAAATTAGTTCTTGGAAATCGACACCGTGAACATGAAAAACTGAATTTTTTTATTATTATTATTAAGAAAACCCTTTCCGATTAATTCTATGACTAATATGTTTATCAATCGCATGTAGAACGCATGATGTTTACGAGCAATAGGTAACGTGGTAGAGTAATTTTTTTAACGATGCTAGCAAAACAAAAAATCAAGTCTGGTAAAGGTGCGTGTTTAAATCAGTTTACCTAGAATGTACTATAAGAGCCGTGCTAACGTCGTTAAGTATCTGATCTGCTTAGTATTGACATTACCTTGTCTATGATGCAATGAAAGCCTATGAGCTACAATCGACTCGTGAGCTCATACCTCTTTGTCATATTCGATGAAATTCGACAGCACCGTAACGTTATTAAGTAATGCGCCATGTTGTTGGAGAGAAAGCCGGACAACATCGCCCAGACCGGCGCTAAACACCAGAATCGGTACATCCTATAATAAGTGTTCATACAAAATGCAAGTTAACACCTAAGACGCTCGCCTGAGTATTAACAGTCGTGTCCTAATGCTTTGTCGTATTCTGTGCTACGTTTGATGTACAACAATCTTAGATGTTCTATACCATTGGATTCCTGGTGCCCAGGTAATACAACGACTTCAGCAAGCTCAGCAAATGACAAAAAATACGTCACTTGGGCCGCGTGACTTAGTCACGTTGAAAGAGCTATGATATATATGAAAAATAGACATCTCGCGCTAAACGCTAATTATAGTCAACTACCCCATGCTAAGGGTTTGCCTCAGTGCGTGTGAAAATAAGAAAAAAAAATTAGCAAATTTTGCTTATTATACAGCCTAAATGAGAGCTCTATAAAAATGTCGTTATACGTTTTAGCACCAATACAGTGTGTTACTTGGTAACGTAACTATTATAATTATGTCAGCAATACCTTGGTCGCTAGAAACTCAAATAACGCTACGGTACGACATCGTAAATGCAGATCCGCTCGTCTCACAAGACTCGGCATTTCCCGAAGATTTACCCCTACCTTAAGCACAATGTCGAAGCTTTCGGCGAACCTGATATATTTTAATAAAATAAAAAGACGACAGTTAAGTGGTTTAAGATAAATAAATGAATGAATGTATTCGAAACTACTCGGTCTATCTTACATTTATTTGGACGAGTGTTTATCAGAAGCCACGAATACACTTGAAAATGACAAAGTTGAGTGATCTTCGAGCCGAACACGCAACATGTCTTCCACGCTAGAAGGAACGTGCAATCTTTCTCGATCGGCTAAACGCCTCCACCAAGCACGACATACTAGAAGCTTAAGGTGCTCCACCATATTACTATCGAATATCTAACACCTCAACGATACAGTATTTACAATGCATCGTAAGAGCCTGTAGATTGCGATAATTAAGTGAAACTGGTCTATTTCGCGAGTCTTGCGCGGAGCCCACTAATTGCACCCATTGATGTTGGACTCAAACGGGTCTAAATTACCTCTCGCTAAAAAGTCTTCTGTGTCGTCTACTGCCGTTATGCATTGCTTCAGGAGCGTGACTTTCATGCAGTCGGTTTTCACTCACCATTGTATCATATAGGGTATCTTTTCCTCAGCGGTAAGTTTCGGACTAATTTCAATGGGGTAATACTTCTCACGGAGTCGCGTCGCCAGCTGCATATACTCCATCGACACATGATTAATATCTTCGTAAACACAATAGGATGTGGAGACAGGCTTCCCGTGGTAATGTGTTCGCGACAGCGTCCGATCGAAGTCTGTGAGCAGCTGCAGACATGACGGACCTAATCATAGTAACCATTAACTAAGACATTTTATTAAACGAAGTCTCCAGACGAAAAGGAAACGTATCATAATTACGACCGTCGGTATGCGTACCGCTAATCGTAGCCAACGCCTTCACGCAACGGCTAGTGAAATCATTTGCCTAATTCCTATCAGTTCTCTCGAATATCTTCTAAATAACCTAATGTTGTATTTTGTCAATATTCGTTGAATTTTATGCATACATATCATGTAATGGCGACGTTTGTTAAATAAATTATTATTATACGGGCTGTTTCAGGCACTTGGCTAGGGGCTCAGGGCACCGGGTATAACACGATTCTGGATGAATTGGCTGCCAATCAGCTTTGTTCCCAGAGAAAATAATATTATCGTATACGTTCTCCGATACATCAAAGCAAGACATAAGCGTAAGCCCTAATCGTAGTTTTTTTTTTCTCTTGTGCTCATCGCCAAGCTACAGTCAATCTGATACTAACACTAGAACTCTTTAGCACAGTTATCTACCTATGACTGCACTGATACTCGCTGTCTACCACTTTTCCCCCTGCAGTGGTGACCCAAGCTACTTTCCGGCGTCTTCGCGTGCGGCGGAAATATTAAAATAATTCGATTAATATTGTGACCGCGCGTACGTTCCGGACAAATCTACGATGGAAACGAATGGATCAGTTATGAGACTGATCTGTCTGGAAGTCATTTAACTTTCTTCAAGACAGGTCGATTTGATACAGTTACTGCTGCAGTGGCACAAATATGCTCTGATACAATGATGATATACGTGATGATAGAGAGAAACAGAAGAGCCACTGGATGAGTTTAATGTTTCGCCTCAATCTCGGAAATCGCGTATAATGTAAAATCATTAACAGAATAGATATTAACAATTACAATCGAGGCATCTCAGTTGATCATGGCTTGGTCCTGAATGCGGCAGGATGGGAAAGATAAATATTTGATCAGTGCGGAAAGCAAGTATATGATGGAATACCGCAATTTCCTTTTGAACGCTTTGGTCTGAAGTCAACAAGCAACAAAATTTATCGAAAACGAATAAACTTACGAGTATTTGGAATACACTCCTTCTTGGAAAAAAGGATTTTAATAATTTCATAATGATCATAAAAGCTCTTTTCAGCTAGTTAGAGACCAGACCAAACAGCCGGTTGTCGAATTCAAACCTTACCTGTCTGAATTTTTTAAAATTCTTCAAGAGAAGGGCGACCAGTCTAAAAAAGAGGTAGAAAATCCCTATGCTAAAGCAATTATAAGAAGCCTTAACGCGGACCGGACGAGCGAGCACACCTTTATCAAATCTAAGGAAGACACATTGTAATAAGGGTGCTCTGTTGCATCCATATATCATTAAAGATAACGGCCTCACCTGTGTGAGCTTTATATACATCTATATAGATGTAACTGTAGCATTATTTAAAGAGAGTAAAAGAGGTACTAAAAATGTAAAAATTACGTGACGATGAACGGGTTTGTGTTTTCCACTTAATGAAGGAAGAATATGCTAAATGTGAGAACACTAACTCGAACATTGGACAAACGCACATGGAGCTATTGAAGTGTGGCAATCGATTTTTCCATAAACGTCATTTAAACGTAATCTACGTTTTGTTTTCTGCTCGTCATATTCTATTAGCAGTCTACTACTGTGCGTAGGTCCGCCGTCGTCTTCCTTACCCTATCCCTGCCTATAGCACACTTTATCGTATCGTACAGCCCATTAAACGCTGCCCTGCCATTTCTATGCGCATTATTATTATTTTAATTAAACGACTTATTTTAATTAAAATTTAATTTTATAGATAATAGCGAATTATCTTTCAGGCAATACGAAGCGCAGTGTTTTTGGAGCGTTCGAAACAATTCATTCATATTAATGATCTCAATGCTACAAAAACAACAAGAGTTTGTTAATAAGACTTAAATCTTTACCCGCCCTGTGTTAGTACCTCTAATATGCTATAAATTTATCTTAAAATCTCTAGAAAAGAAGTAACGCGGGAACGTCAGTTTTTTTGTTTATCGTTAACTTCTTCTTGCTATCTACCAGACTCCTCGCGAAACGAAATGAGTAATGGACGGAAATCGGATACCCACAGCCGCTTCACTATGGGGTTTGCATCAAGCTACATATTCGCAGAGATAAAGCGTATTCTCACAGAGTACTTTGATAATAATTGATCACTTTTTTTCCATCTTCAGGTCTCATTGTTAGCTAAGGCGTCGTTGTCCTCACAGATGGCCGCTGCCCTTCATACTGTTTCAGATACTCTGTTAGAGAAGATTATCGATTGTCGCTCAATTCTCTTCTGAATCTTGTGAATTCTAAAGAAGCGAGAATCGCCTCCATTCATCGATCTCGTCCGCACTTCCTGTGCGTGTGTCTGTATATATATGCCTATATCTGCTCTCACATACTTACCATCTATAGTGAGTTTATGAATTTTATTCTGGACACGTTGAGGATCTTTCATCCGTAGACTGCCACCGTTACTGGTAGTCTGTGCTGCGGTCAGCCATGATAGGACCTTGCCACCTTCGTTGTTTACTACTGCAAGGCCGCGTCCTAGGCCACGGACAACCAACATACCGTCGGCTAAAAGCTGCAGTTCCCACAATTTGCGCACTCACCCAATTGGCTGCAGTCTGCGATGCTATCGACGGCGACACTGCCAGCTCAAAACCATTGAGCGACAGCCAGCACCCGCCAGCCGCCAGATCTCCGTCGGGTTCTGCTGGGGTTGAACTTGCCAGGCTATGTGGTAACCCACATTAACACACCGCACTGACCACAACTCTACCGGTATTGGCACCGTAATTACCATAAATCACACAGCAATGTCATGTAAAATGCAGCGTAAAGGGAGAGTGCTCACTGGCAACAATCAGCTGCTACTTGTTGTTTTAGCAGAAGTATTTGATGGCACTCACAGAACTCATTGTTACTCACGACCAGCAGGATATCACAGGGTTCTTGGACTCATTTTATATAGTTAGTTCTAGGAAGGACAGATCGCTCTCGACCTATGACTGGTGTACTTAGCCTCAGACGACAATGCGACACAAACCGGTGTCATATACTGAACTAGACAGAACGAGCAAGCTAGAAGGCCACGCAGCCACAAGTTTCTCCGTTCGGATTTTTTGAATATCCGTTGATCAGCTGGCCGGGACCCCGTTCGCTGTTTAGCAATATTCTTTCGTTCGATAGGCAGATAGGCAACCCACAGAGTAAAGCTGTTGTCACAAAAGGAAGGAGCTGACTGACTGCACTCTCCTATGCTTGTGCACACAACTCGGGTTGAATTTAGCGCACGAAGACTAGATAACCGTCAGCAGGAAAAGGATGAGCAGGAATAAGATTCGCAAGCGATATCTCTGTAAAATGTTGCAGAGCGTATATGTCGTCCGCCTAAATAGCTAAAACAACTCTCACCTGTTTGTAGTAATTGCTAGAAGAGTGAAACCTTAAAAAAGAAACCTGGGTTTTCGTAAATGGACACAGTAGTTTTTTTAAGGAGACCATTGTAAAGAAGGCGAAGACCGTGCCAAAACTAAAAATAGCTTTGTCGTGATGAGCAGTCAAAAAAAATAAGCGCATTGTCAATGTTTTCGAGTACGACGAAATCACGACGCCTCGTAGAACTGATGCGTGTCCCCCGAAACTCCCTATAGGCAGTAAACTCCATAAACATTTCAGGCAAATGTGCAAACACAACAGAACTTGCCAGCTTCTGGGAGAGTAACAAAGTTGTAGTACGAATTGACTAAATACGACCTGATATATATAATACATGTCAGTTCTACGCAGTTCAGTTGAAGTACGATTTAAATGTGAAGTTCTATGGAAGGGGTAGATCTGCGTCATGCCCCTATCTAGATTGATTCATGGTGTATGGTCGAGCAGACATGGAAAAGGGCAAACACAGCGCGAAATAACTAGAAACGACATTTGAAAAAAGATCAAAACAGAGAAACGTCTCCCTCCTATCAAAGGGGCGCACGCTGATAATGCGCATTTCTGTGTTTCGATGACGCCTTCGGAAGTCTCCTTCAAGTATCACGAAGGGCATTACCGATACATCCATTAAATAAGTTTAGATGAGTTTGCATCAAATTCATCTACGCTAACGAGATACAGATCAAAAGGCCTACAAATCGGAAATATATTTTCAAAAGAAAACGGTGGTATCTTTATTTTCATCCATTCATTTTATCAATCAATTAGACCAAGTTATCATAGATTATAAAGAAAAATAAGTTGTCATAGAATCGGAGGAAAGCCTTAAATAAGTATTGTATTTCCAACTGTATATACGCAATGTAATAACGAGAAATTTAGGACGTGGTCGAGCAGAAACAGCAACCTGTGAATTGTAAGATTATGAATCGTAAGTGAAGATTTTACTGATTTTACGTGAATTGTAAGTTTAAAATTTTACGTTTTTGCGTTATTTTGATCTAAACAACATTAACCATACGACTCGATAGCGTGTTTAGCATCTTGTCAAACCTTTTTTTGATCGCTGCAACTAAAAAGGTAGCGCTCTCCCATAAAACAATCGTAGGACAAGAAGTACACCGTTTTCTGCTGAAATAATAATAAGAGTCTAATTAATTTAAGAAAGCTTGCCATTAAGGTAGCTTTGAGAAGTCCATATTCGGGCTACGTTTACAGAACGATCACTTATTTAATTTGACCTGTAGAAACAATCGGTGCCAATTACCAATAATCTAACTAATAACGAATACTACTTATGCTAATACAGTAAATATGGCATGGGCCGTGATAAATCTGTGGATCATGCCGTCAGCTAATGGCCTGATACAATGTCTAACACTGACACAGGCCGTAAAGCATCCTTTTCATCGGGTCGTAGTTAAACTTTAAAGAAAAAAAAACGTTTAACTTTTTTAACGGTACTCGTTCGCCTAACAACCGCCTCCGCTGCTACCGTCGTCTGGTGAGCTTGCGTTACTATCCAACTCGTCTGGTCCGTCTGCGCGGGCAGAATTCGAATGGCAGCCTCAGTATCGCGCCAACCGAACAGAACACAGGGAGCAATAGGCAGGACCTGTTTTGGCTGCTGTCTTGATGTTGAAGGCTCTGTCTGTACCCTGTTGAAAATGTAGCAGCTATGAAGGCGCGGTTTTTAGTCGATACAATTGTCTGAGGTTCTCTTGATGGTTGTTGTTTGTTTTCTGTGCACTCGCTTTTCCATTTGCTTCGTCTAACCACAGCCGCTGTCAATACCGGACAGTCCATGCGGATAAATAAAGTTAATTCGTATTATAACTTGGTCAATTTTGTTAGGTTTGAGCAGTTAACTCATGAGAAGATCAGAAATCAATTTCCGAAAGATGTGCTTATACCTATGAGTTATGAGAAAGTACGTTGCTATAGGTTGGTACATATGTACTGAGAAATTCGTGCTGCGATGGGAATACGCCATGTCGAAATGTAGTGCTCTAGCGTACTTGTCGCAGTTCTGTGACACGGCGTAGTATTGAAAGCTCGGACAAAAACGTTTTTTTCCTGTATACAAAGCTTGGAAATTTGTCCACGATTAGAAGCTCCATAGCACTCGCACATCATACGGCCAGAGGACGTTGGCGTCTGCGATTTTGTCGTGTGCCGTAATGCTGCGATGTCGAGGCAACGTGACGGAATAGAATTGCCGAACCTGACCGTAAAGCATATGGATTTGCTGTTGTCCAAATATAACGAGATACAATAATCGTTTTTCAACTATACCACATTCGTGCGTCCACGGTAAATCGTCTATTAGGGGCCACTTGTCAATTCCAGTCAATAACGTGATGCAGATGGATGATTCAGCGGCGGAGGCGCGCGATGCAATATTGCACATCCTCAACAATGACGAAACCCGTAAGTAAACACAAAAGAAAAAACAACAGATTATATATTAAATGCAACTTGTAGAGCCAATTATTTGAAAAAAAAACACACTACAGTGGGTCGCAGTCCGCTAAAGACGCATCGTGGATTTTCGGTTTAAACTAATCAATAGTTAATCGAAACGGTCAAGTGAACAAAAAACTATTCGAATCAATAAGAACTGTATGCAACTGATAGCTATCTCTGTAAAAACAAGAATACACATAAATGTATGTGTTCAGCATTAGCAGTCACACATAGCCATGGACAGATTGGTCAGTCAATCGAAACGGGTCAATGAAAAGCGCATAAAATAAAATATAATAATAATAAATAAGGCTAAAAAGGATTTACATATTTTACACCATTGTGTACATTATAATCTGCGTATCGACTGCTACCAATTAATAAAAGAGTAAACGGTCAGAAGTAAACTATCAACAGTATATGTTATGACCAGTGATTCTGTCTAAAACAAATCAAAATTCTCTTTTGTGACTTTAGAACATGAACGTGATACCAAGGTCACATGTCGTGAGAAGTTTTATGTCCGGTTTGGCAAAAAATGTCAGTAACAAAGCAACTAGATAAGGGTTGTTTTACCCTAAGCAAACCATAAAGATAAAAGAACGCATTCGTTAAATGCAGAATTGAAGCTCTCTGTTGAACAGGAATAAACGGTCTCCATGGCACTCAAAAGCAGGGCTGACCTTTCGAGCCCCTCCGCGCATCACGATCCTTATTATTGAGCTCTAAGTCATCATTCATAATCGTTTGTTTCTTTACCTGTTGCTAACGTTGACATTGATCGAAAATTTCAGCTTACTATGCATTTTCAGAGATGTCTCAAGTTTTCTAACTTATCAATTGTGAGGCCGTGCACAGATTTAGCTAAAATGTATAGTTAAGCTGAAAGTTCAGATTCCAGAAGATGGATGCAGTTTGATCAATTTTTTGAATTAGATATCGAAAAACCGAAAATTTGGATGCATGAATTTGATCATTGGCTCCGCGTACAATTTCTTGCAGTTGAGTCTTACCATCGATCGGAATATGAGCCGTTTTATCGGATTCTCGATACTATGCCTGAGACCTTCCTCGCCTCAATAGCTCCACCAGACCAAACAACAGCTAGGCTTCATTTCAATGCGTACTTCCTTGCGAAGGTATAAAGTAAACGATATATACGACTATTGAATTTTACCTTTTTGTAGTAATAGATGTCCTAGAAAATGGATCCCAATCTATTTCCGACACGATTATTCCTCGGCGGTAACAGCCTCTCTAAATAAGGCTTCAAAAGGACACAGGTTACAGCCTTAGCTTTATTGTGGTTTGACTATATAACGATTGTCATATTCGCCCTGAAGGGTTTCTGTCATGGCCGCGCTAAGCACGTGAGCATGATAACATAAGAAGGAAATAATAATAAATATTTTATACCAAATATATATATATATATAAAGTTTACCATATTTGTATCTATAATGCGTTTTAAAAACATGATCGCGTTTCGTGTACACTGATCCTGCCTGTTAAAGATTGTCACGAAAGCCACTTCGTCACGCCAGTGCGCAGTCGTTACAAAGATCGCTCTGTATCTAATACATCGCCTGTTGGGCGAACAAGATAAGGCCGCGGCCACCTCGCTGTTAGCCATGGTAAGGAACAATTTTTCGACGGACAGCGTCCTAGCATTGCCCCCAGGAAAACCACCGATCGTCAAGTTGCCGGACAAAAACCAGAATCCATATGTGCGTAGCGTTTTTCTACAATTAATGGCCGAATTCCTTCAAATGGTGCCCGAGCTGGAAGTAAAGGCGTTCTACACTCAGTTGGCGGGCGCTCTTCCAGAAGTGTTTGACGATAAAACGACACTTCAGTCTTGGCTATGTTGCGCAAGGTCGCTGTACGAGTTGTTGCTGGAGATTGGGTTTTATACGCTTCGTGAGCATCTCGTCGATACGTTTGTAGAGATTCTTAGGTATCTGAGTGAGGAAAGTCGTATTAATGAGGTTCAGGATGATCTAAATCAATTACTTGGCCACATGGCCAACCATGAGATCCTATCCGCTGGAAATGTCAAAAAGATCATAGGTATCTGGCCTCAGCTCAAACCCCTATGGAAGCACTTGGTCCGGTGGTTTGCGCGATCAGCCCCTACTGATCGAAACATTCACCTTCTTATTTTGCCCCACTTAACCGATCTATTTAGCGGATTACCGGGTGTAGAACAGCTTATCGACAAGCTGGAGATACAACCAGAGTATTTTAACAGCGTTCGACTCGAGAAGGATAGTCTGCGAATTTTTAATGTTCTTAGCCATAAACCATCATTGACTGCTGGTGTACGCAGCCAGACCGAAAGCTATTTCCACTCATTGTTCCCAATCTCCGACGTGAAGACGTACCCCCAAGCAATCGCCTGTTGCCGAATTCTACTCAACGTCTCATCCGGAAACACGGAACAGTCTGTTGCTAACGTTGTATTTGCTCCGTTGATGAGCGTCAGCCCGAACGCTGCCACGTTTGTTCGAGATCGCCACCGTATGACTATAAGCATGGACGAAATCTCACGGGACGTAAAGCTGGTCGCCGAGTGCCTGTCTCTTGTACCGCTGTTTTCGGAGACCCGTGTGAATCAGACAGCTCGCCGAAGCATTATCCTTGACGCGGCAAAAAAACGCAATCTGTTTGCGGCTGTCGTTGATAACATCTGCCTATACAAGGACGCCTGCGATTCCGTTCTCAGTATTTTGGAGAGTCACCGCCTTTTACCAGAGGAAATGAACCACCTAGCGACAGCACTGCTTAAGCTACCGTGCGTATTAGCTGGAGCGGAGGCGCCGCGTGTAGGGGAAACTAGCAATAACGGCCAAGTGAAATCGTGTCTATGTAAAGATGACCTCCCAACGCTGATTACATCTTCAGCAGCAAGCGAGGCACTAGGTAATTGCATCTTGAACGTGCTGGGCAACCAAAACATCGAAGCTGAAAAGAGAAACATGCTTGCGATCTGCTCGACTTTACATCTGAAGTTCAGTCAACAACAGCTCGATCGGCTTCTAGATGTTTTTTTAGCCGAGACCAACTACCTTGTTCGGCTTGGCCTCGTTCGAGCGCTATATCGTGCCCTGGAAAGTAATCCCTCACTCGAACCCAAGGTCGATTTGACGCAGCAGTTCTCCGACGTGGAAAATCGTGACGTCTACGAGACTAGTCTAATGCTTGTCAGCCGTATCGTAGCTGCACGACCCGCTCTCAAATTCACCCATTTCAAGCATCTAGCAGCTGCGGCCTGCGATAGTGTCATGTACCTGCGAACTGTAGCCCTCAGTGAAATTCACTGGCTGTCGCGACACTCTGGTGTAAGCCTTCGACAGATGATCTTAGATAATCGTCAGATGATTGCCCTGTGTGTGTTCCGTGCCGCAGTTGACTCACCAGCACGCAGTCTGGAGCATATCGTTAAGGGTGTGTCCGATGTGTTCGATGCGGACTCCCCAGACGTGTATCCGTGCCTTAAAACGCTCCATCGCTTCCTTCTGCCGATGTTCGTGGCCCACGGCGGCGAAGATGCCCAACGCCGGGTGCGCGAAATCGCTAGGTTGAGTAGCAGTGGTAATGCCAGTAGCAATGGTGGCCTCGTATTGGAGAACACGCATTCGAAACTGCTCAAGCTTATCGGCAGATATCTTCCACAGATAGTGGCATATTTATTCACTACGCACAGACGAGATCCGGGAGGTAAATGCGAGACATTTCTATCTTTTGCTATTGGAAACGATTGGCGTACAGCGTTCACTGAGGGGGCGCCGCATCGGATTATCTATGAGTTTATGACGTATTTGCCAGTCGACGAGGCTGGAGTTAAACTAGGGATCAGCTACGTGGCTCGTATGCGACAATGGACAATTAACGACGACATGGATATTCGAACGTTCGTGTATGAGCACCTAAATCTTCTTGGAGTACTGTTTCTTTATGATACAAATATCCGAAAAGCGGTTGCCGAAGAGAAGCTGCGCATTATTAGCAGTCTTCCGGAGTTTATTCGTTATTTGGGCGTAGAACACGTGACCAGTGTCCGGATCAAGCTCATGTATGTACTGCGAGCAGCGTTTTCGGTGTCCGAATCCGATATTACTCTGCTGAAGTATTGCGCTGACGCATGGTTCGTATTTGTGAAATCGCTTGACAAGTCTGGCCTTCCTACGATTATCGGCGATCTAGTGATGTCCGTCCTGCCATTACTCAACACACCGGAAGTATTGGCCCAGGCGAGAGAGATCTTAGAGTACCTGCTAATAGAGAATAAACAGTGCTACGCTGAACGATTGCATGAGCTTGCCTTCCTACAGGAGATGGACAAATTGCCGATGTCGATTAGGAAGACATTTGCCTCGAACAAAAACATCCCATTCAAGGAGCAAATTGGCAATTCTGTAGTGAACATATGTAATGAGAGTAACAGCGTTCGACGACTTGTGCTCAAAAGACTGGCGCGTCTGCTGTCAGAAAATCGCGAAGCACTTTCGGAATTACTCGACTCTGAAACGGAGAACGATTTCATCTCTGAAATGATTCGCCAGCTATTCGCGTGTTGTCAGACGGGAGATGCCGTTATTCATTCGTTAGTCGGTGAGTGCCTCTCTCATCTCGGAGCTTTGGATCCCGCGCGCATAGCGCTCAGGGTGAGCGCCTCCGACCAAGAACAGGTTCCTATCATGATTACAGAAGACTCGAAATTTGCTCATGGCCTACTCAAAAGACTGGTAAACACTTTCCTCACCTATAACCATCAGAATGATATGCAGAATAAGGCCTCATACGTAATTCAAGAGGTGTCGAAAACCTACTGTTTACCTAACGACAAGGAGCTGTGGCGTTTGTTTAAGACGCATGAACAGGAGGTAATTAGAATGTTAAGCGGGACTAAGTACGAGTGGATCAGCAAAAAACAAGACAATCTCCCAGTGGAACGGCCGATATTCAATGGCCCGCTGGGAACCGATTTCTCTGCCTGGATCAACGCTTGGATCAAGTCACTTCTGCCGCTTGTTCGTAATAAAACCGAGCGCTATGTGATGGATTTGTCAAGCTTAATCGCTGAGAATGATCTCGCCGTAGCTCAATTCATCCTGCCCAGTTTGGTGTCTACCGTCATGGTTACTGCATCCGACGAAGAGGTTGAATACATCAAGCTAGAAGCGGTAAGTCAAGATGAACTTGAACCCAATTTTGTTTGTAGAAGTAGTGCTTGATGCAATGTAATTATCTTGATTATTGCAGTTTCGGCTTCTACGGCAGGTTTTACTTTTGACGATCTGTTTGTTTTACAAAATATGGATTGTTAAGATACCACGGCTTTAAAGGTGGATGGCGGCATACACGTCATTTCATTATGATGCAATAAGATATGCATTTCGGACTGCAAGATTTGGAGGTCTTTCTTAGACATGCCTAAATATGCTGCGTTCGATCAAAAAAGAACCATGCAATCACAAAAAGGGAGCAGACGTCGTTAAAGGCTTCAAAGCAAATCGCACTTGTCTGGGCTTCCCGTTAAAACGTCGCTCTATGAGTCTCAATGCTCAAATGGTCAGGATTGGCTAAATGTATTGTTAGTCATTCATCCTCAAATTGAACAACTCCCTTGAGTTAGAAACTTCTATTGCTAACTAACAGCAATAATTTATACATAGATATATATACGTGACTCACTTTTGACAGGTAAAGGTATGCTATTCTATTACAGGTGAGTGTACTAGACGGCGGAGCACATCTCGGCGGAGATTCGGTCTTTCGTTCTAAGGAAATGCAACACATGGCCACTCAGACCGTATTTTCGCTTCTGGAACATCTTCTCGGCGTGGCGAAAATCTCCTCTCAAAAGCGCCAATATAGGTTTACCTCACGGGCTGACAGTTTGGAGGCTGGTAGTAGTAATAGCAGTAGCAGCAGCCGAGGTGGTAATAGTCAAGGGAACAATGACAGGTACGTCTCGTGGGCTTTAGGTCCGACCTAGACATGTTTGATTGATGCTGGGGATTAGCCTGCTGGTGCAATTACGTTAAAACAGTTCCGCACATAAAAGCCACGACGTATTTTTTCATTTTATTTAGGACGTACGCGATGTTATGATCTGTACGTGCTTTTTGTGGAACGTAGTAAAGTGCTGTTGACGAAGGAGACGGAAATTTTTGACCAATGAAAATTTAATAAACACCTAATAGCCGCCTAGGAACCATTTATTCGATTATTTGTGTGTCTTAGACCGTCTGTTTGTATCTCACGTCGTAATTATTTTCATAGCATTTCACGTCGTAACTTACTTTCGTAGGTCAAGCAGTTACAGATAAACTTCTTTTTGTGCATTTATCTACGTAGAATCTATGTGCTGAATGGTACCTTGCGTTTTTACAGAAGATTTAAATTTGTCGAAGGAATTGCCCAGGATAAACTGGCAAGAGCCGCCTTCGGATGTCAAGAATATTCGCGGTAAATATATATATAATTCAATGCAAAAAATTCGATTTGAGTTTTATAGTATGTATATATAGCTGCATACATATAGATGTACTTATAGCTCTCACATACACAGTCATCAATAACTAACAGCAGTTAACTTTGTTTGTTAGTTGTATCTGATGGGCTGTTAGAATAATACTAGGTTAGTTAATAAGTGTAGTTATTCAAAACTATTGTTGCTATTATATATATCTGTATATATATGCTATCATATATATATGTATATATATATATATATGTAAAATGGCTGAGAATTAGTAAAGTTTGACTATGCAAGCGAAGATTAAGAATCGCTGCTTAAATCCCACTAGTGTAACTTGGCAAAAAAAACATATGTTGAAATTTGACATACCGGCCATATACCGGTGAAACATAGCTGGTCTAATGACCCAAATTACTCTATCGGCCATCTGCACTATTATTCGACATGTAGACCAAAATAGGAATGTTAATAGTATTTCAGTGACGGCCTTGAATAACACAGAAAGCTGATTTGTGCCGTTTGTGTGCTCCTTTTTGATTTGCCTTCACAGAGCGTTAATGCATCTGTCGCGGTATCTGCAAGCTAATCCAGGCGAGTTACAAAACAATTTGACATTTCTTCAGGATATCTACGTTCGGCTGAACGATCCAGACGGTGTGGCTGGTGCCGCAGAGCTACGTAAGAAAGATGCATCACTTAAAGAGAAAATTATCGAACACAAAGCCCAAGGTGAGTTCAGCGAAAGCCCGCTCTCCATGCGCCCTGTGTGTGCGCCCCTCGTGTCATCATTCAACTGCGTTTGATAATCGGCTTTTTCACCTTGAGCTATTCCTCGTCTTGGAAGATCAGACAGGAGTTATTTCTTATGTGAAGGGTAGAGCGAGGGTCTGTTGACAGATGTATATATATGACACACAGTTGGTTTCGCTCTGGCAGGAGCAAACTATTTGAAATAATGCCTACCGGCGCAAGCAACGGCCATAATACACGAAAAACATAAACGATGTATATATATATATATATATATATATATATATATATATATAATTTGTCTTATAGTGAATTGTCAAAATAATTTGGGCCATTCTGTATAAACACAGCAGTTATCCTAACCCTGTTCCAGTCTCATCGTCTATTCATTACGACCATCCACCGATGTTTAGGCAAATTACTGGACGCTCTGACGTGCTATGAGCGACTTCTCGGTTCCTCTGAAAATCAGAATCAGTCAGATTCGGAACAGCATGAGCGAGGTGTTGTCGAATGTCTTCTTGCTCTTCACCAGCCTCTGTCAGCTCTTACCAACGCCACTGGGATGATAGCTGTAAGCGCTCGACGATTTTCATTAGTTACATCGGGGCAATCGTCAAGTGCGAATCTGTCAACAGCATCTTCGAAAAACAACTGCACGATCTTCAACTGTGCCGCATCGGCATCTAAAGATGTCCAAACAGAGCAATGGCAGGTTCGTGTATTGGCCGAAAATACTATTTCGTGTTTAGAGATGGACGTCCATCTGACGCTGATGTGGCACTAAATTTGCCTCTGACCACAAATGGGATCAAGGTTAACGTTGGAGGAATAAAGTCTCTCGTTCTGGCTGTTGGTGCATTTGATCGTGTCTCCTCACACTTAAAATAATATAAAAATATAGAATATCATTAACAAAACTACCGAAACTGATAGAATGGTTAATCGAATAGAAAAACATCTGTTCGGAAAATAAAAACCAGATATTCTTAGGATAAAATGCGCCATGGCTTATGTAATAGAATGACTCAGGTAGTCTGTATTGAATGTATAGAACTACAAAATATACAAATACAGTTAAAATAATTAACGCAAAAACAATGTGGTCGATCTTGACGACATCTAACAGATGATTGCGACGGACTGGAACGCATATCGAGTCGAGGCCGCATGGAAACTTGGTGACTGGTCTGCTCTTGAGAACTATCTGGCCGATTATCAGTCTCCGAAGCAAAATGGAGTCAATGCTCAAAGACGATGCTACAATGCGTTTGGGTTGTCCGTTGGAGGCCTTCTATCCGCTGCGCAACGGCTCGACCGTTCACTTTTCGTTCGGAAACTCGACGAGAGTCGTCGACTCGAAATGATTCCGGCGACAGCGGCGTGTCTTCAGCCAGAAGTCTACGTACAGGTAGAAACGATGAAAAGCCTAGAGGAAGGGGTTTTACAGTGATCACAAAAATGAAAAGGTAGAAAGTGTTCGTTTAATTAAGAGACCCGGAAACAGGCGAGCGGCGAGCCAGGTTTGAAGCAGCATGGCTTAACTAAGGCAGTACCGAATAGCAATAACCATAAATGGTGCAACAGGTTTCCGCAGGTGACTCTTGTTATCAATACATTCAACAATCCAAAAAAAGTATCAATATCATATTTTCAGTAACCTAATTCGATAAAACATCGCTATTTGTTTCGAAGTTTTGAACCAAAATAATCTTCGGAAGAGGCACGTGAAGGTATTTGAATTTTAGTTATCGGCCTCTATATATGTATATATATCGTTGTTATTCCTAGGTATACCCTTCGACGGTAGTTCGGTTGCATATGTTGAACGACCTTCAGTTAGGTGTTGAGAAACTCGTTGGCTTTGAGGATACTACGCTCGACAGCGAACGAGTACGTACAAATTTCGCTTACCTTTAATAAAGACTAGAGCAATTTGTTAACGTATAAAATTAATTATCTGCTCCTATTGTACTATAACAAACCATATTGATGCTGCTACTGTAGCTACCTGCTTGTACACTATTGGAATTAAAATATATAGAGAAAGTATCTTTACTGCTTTTAGTTGGAGTCCAACTTGCGAAGCGTGGTCAAGGCTTGGGAGAAACGCCAGGTCCGCATGAGACCTTCGGGTGTACTTCAGGAGAGCGTCCTGGAGGTTCATCGCGCCGTGCTGAGACTAGCTGCCTACCGAGCAGAAAAGGCAGGTTGGGAGTCGCGACCGCTTCATCAGGAGATTTCGAGCCTCTGGCTTCGAAGTGCTCAACTTGCCCGAGAGTAAGCTTAATAAATACGCAGTCACAAACATACAGTACAGCAAAACAGAGAATAGACAAGTAAATTTGAGCTTCCTTTCTTCTTTACCACCAAAAGCAGTTGCTAAATGACGACATTGCGTAATCGTACTTTCAGGGCTGGTCATTACCAGCATGCCTATAGCTGTCTTTTGGAAGCCGAATCTCGCGAGAGCGGGTCGCAATTGGAGGGTGAGCTTTGTCTCGAAATGGCCACGCTTAGCTGGGCCAAAGGGGAGCATATGGCGGCAATCAAAATACTCGATGATTTTATTAATAAACATGCCAATACCCAGGTAAGTGTTTAGACAAACCTATTGATGCAAAGTGTGGGTTGTAGGACGCAACTATACGATTAAACCACACTGGAAAAAACGCAAAATAGGTTACTGTAGTACTCTAAAACCGTATTATTGTACATAATATGAGCACGTGCTATGGATAGGAGGAAAATTCAAATAATAGTGAGTCGATTTCATCATTGAAATTTGTAGCTAACGTACGAATAATGAAACGATGTCTCGACAAAGCCCTATAGGTAATATATAGTAAATGCAGGATTTGCTAAGCAATGGGGTATAACTTTTAAGGATGATCAGAAAAATATAAAAAAATTCACTGTAGTCGACTGACCGTTCCGTATCGCAGATATTTTTGTAGACCAGCGGGTTTTATTTAAAGCTTTTAACTTCCAAGCGTAACTCAAAGTGGTTAAAAAGACTAATAGCACACATGCATAGCATTGAGTTGGTATCTACTACCAGCGGCTTTCTACCTTTCCTTCTCGATAACACTTTCCCATTTTCTTCACGTCCATCTTCGTTTTAGCGTCCGGCAAATGACCGGGCAATGGCCCGGGTTCGACTCCTGCACGCCACTTACTCATGTGAAGCGTGTTGTGTTGATGTCGACGCTCAGCATCGCCTGTACAAACGAGCGGCTAAAGCCGACCAAAGTTGGGAAGATGGAGTTTACAGGCTCGCAAAATCGTATGATGAAGTCATTTTGACACCTAAATGTGATCTCACCTCCATCGTAAGTATAAGCGAAGCTTAATTTAATTAACAATGGACATGCTGCGGCGGTTTTAACAATTTATATATAGTTGTTGTTCGAAAGATATTCCCCGGAAATTAATGTTACACCGCTGGGGGGAAACGTTTGCCTAAGGTATAATTCTCTTTATACGCATGTAGCCTCCTTTGAGATTTCGCATATATTTCAATTTGGTGACCTGTGTGCGCCATGTATTAGCTATAAATGTCGACATGTAATCGCACACGACAGGAAGTACTGACAAATATCAACGACATGTGATTGAACGAAAAAATCTCGTATAATTCTGAAGTATTCGTACTCAAGTGAGATTGCATAGAGTCCTTTTTGATAGGTACCCTGTTTTCTGCGTAAACTAGTCATGAATTTATAAATTGCATGTGTTTATTACAAGCGTCGTTGTTTTCCTTCATCTGCGAAGATAAAGAAGATATATTGAATTTGGAAATCAGTGAATTGTCGATACATGGTAAGAATGCCTCGCACGCTCCCTATCGTGCTTTTGTGGGTTGCTTGTCATCTTCTTGTGATCTGTTTTACAGATGGCCCGGGTCGATATTATCCTGCAATACTATTGCCAGTCACTACATTACGGACAAGCCCATGTATTCCATTCGCTGCCTCGTTTGTTGACAATCTTCTTCGATCTTGCCGGACAAGTGGCTAAAACCAAGGATCAGGTTTGTATAATTTTGGGCAAACAAATCTTGCACAACGAGTATAAAAAGGAAAAACGTACAAAAAAACAGAAAAGTAAATGGAGATTCGTTGATATTTTTCTATTATATATTTTTCCTGATATTTTCCTAATTATCATGGCCTTCGGCGGTTGTGGTTTGAAATAAAAGCTGGTTCCGCTTGCCAGAAACGATAGCATTCGAATATTCGCTCGAACCCTTCTTGAAATGAATTGGTAAAGCTTTATATACGCTTCTACTACTTTGCTTAAGCATTGTGACATCAGGGCGGCCGATGGCTTAATCCAGCGTGTCAGTCTACGCTCGGACTCGAACCTAGATCACCATTTGCCTTTTGTCTCTAACTTTAGTGGTAGGCCGTTATTATTGCACTGTGGCTAAACGCTTGAATCCACCACCCTGTACTCTACTGGTTCGTTCGAATCTCATACATATACTATATAGAAAAGCATCTTTTCTAACCTTATCCGGCGTATTGATTGGCATCGTATTGCTAACCTAAATGTTTCGAGTTTGATGTCCACTACCGCCGTTAGATTTTCCATCGTAGGCTGACGTGTGTATGTGTTTACGCCCAGATACGGATCTAGACTGCCACGTGCCCCTCAAATTAGCAGACTTTACCCATTACGCCATCAAGCGGACCTGACCAGATGTTTTACTTGCGAGCGATTTATTCGATTCTCCGCAGCGTTTGGAAGCCAAGCTCGCCCAGATGGCAGCGCGTTTAACCCAGAGTCTGTCAGTACTAAGGCCATGCATCTTTTACGCGGTGATGGGCCAACTGGTGTCACGTATCGTTCATCCGCATCGGCGAGTCGTCGAACTCGTAAAAGAGCTCCTCATTAAGGTCATCGCGGCGTATCCAGAGAGAGCATTATGGAGCTTTTTTTTTACTACGAAGTAGGTTGTATGTACACGTGCAAGGAGGTATCTCAGTCACTAGATTTTAGTGGTTTTCATTTCATACATCTCTCCAAAGCCTCACAATCGTTCGATACAGGAACACAAACTGACGAAACAACTGTTTAATATAAACTGTTTATTCTGCGAAAATCACGATGATATCTTGACACGTAACATGACGATGCGGTTGAGAGGTAGGTGGGACTGTATATTAATTCGTGATATAACACCAATCTAGTCAGAAAATTGTTATCAGTTTGCCTCGTGCATCATGATAAGCTCTGATTTGTCTTTATTCTTATTTATTTTTAGAATATAATCAATCAAGGTTGATTCATTTACCCTTAGCATGGCTTTTATAACAATTCAAACTTTTCGAATTCAGCAGTTACTTGATCTGGCGCTATTCACTCTCATTGGACCGTTTTAGGTATGAAAATAAGGAGCGGCAATGTAAGGCTCGAGCAATTATCGCCGCAATCGAATCAAAGGGTGAGCTCCTCCGGGAACAGGCGGCGATCATGTCAACGATGACAGACATGTTGTTAATCCTTTGCCGTGCTAATCTTTCTGCCAAAACTGAGTCGCTCCGGAGGTATGAACACTTCATTGTAGCCGCATGACATGGTACAGAATGAAGTCCTTCGTTCATACACGTTTCTATGCGTCTGTGTTTAGATTTATTTAGTAAGTGGCAATTGGGTTATAAGTTATCAAGCGCAGTTAGGAGAATGCAATTAACATTTTCAGGTACGTGTCTCAGGTTTTTTTGTCTATTAAAAGGTCCTCTTTTAACGTTTATTGTCGAATAGGTTAGCTTTTGGGTGAGTGGTCTCTCACTCTCATCCTCTCATCCTCTCTCTCTCTCTTTCTCTCTCTCATTCTGTCTTCTTTGTCACCGACGGTTCTTGGTAGAGTTTGCCCAGCTCTGAGCAACACGTTTGCCAGGGGAGCGTTCGCAAAGGTCGTTCTCCCTACTGAAAAACTGCTCGCTGTGAACATCGACGGAGGAGCGCCCACGGATGTCTACTTCCACGAAGTAGAAGATCAGGTCAGCCTTCCTGAACCTTGTCAGCTTCCTAAAAAAATATATATGTTCATCATCCCTTTCAACCGTCGGATAGTTCTTCTTTCTCTGCCGTCACCCGATGGATGCATGTCGAACTTAAGCGACTCGATTAAATAAACTGTTGGATTTCCGAATATTTTCTTTATTAGATTTTCATGTACTACCTTATTGCTGTATCGCTTGCACCATCACTAATACTTAATGTGAACCATTAATATGGATACGATACGTCTACCTGCTGGGTGTACCGAAGTCAGTAATAAAGACCATGTCGAATTGAATAATCAATTTTCTCCTCGTTATTTAAAGAAACAATTGCCTAGCCAAAATAAAATAAATAGCAAATAAAATATTTGTTTTTCCTGTTTTGTTTGAGGTCTATTTTGTTAATTCCACTTCATATGAATTGGCACTTGCGAGCGTGCTCAGAGCCAGATATTATAAGACGATGGGTAAGGAAAATTTATCACAAAATACGTTTTTACGACTGTTTTTGATTAAAGAATAAGCGCTACTAGTAAAGAATAAGTGTGCTTTAGTCGTAGCACTGCATTAGTATCCGGGACGTATTTATTGAGACGTTGTTTGTGTTTATCAGTTAACCGCCTGTCTGATGACAGGGCCTAAAATGTCGTTGTTTTTCTTTACCGTTTTCCTTCGTACTTTTCAGATACTTCTGCTACAGTCCTTGCAAAAACCACGTCGGATCACAGTGCGCGGCTCTGATGGTAAAAAATATAGTTTTCTACTAAAGGCCGAGGACGACCTGCGTAAGGATTGTCGTTTAATGGAATTTATGGGACTCATCAATCGATTTCTGGCTAAAGAACCCGACGCATACAGTAGGCATGTAACGTACTTGAGCTTCATCGTATAAACACGAGATGGATTGAAGGGCGAAGCTGTTTTTAAAGAATGGTTTAAGTGTCATGATGTGATTTTAATACGGTTCGCTAACGCAGAGCAAGGATCAATCAGCTAAGTTTAGTACGCAACACGAATTTTAAATGAGCAAAGGGTCACAGCTCATTATGACAATAGAAGCATTAATGACAACGTAAGGGAAATAGTGTTCTGTGAACAAAAAAAAAAACCCAAAACGTTCGCCAAACAATAGCATACAACAATGGGTTACTGTCATAGGCTGCGCGAAAACGCAAACAAGACCTGTCTAAGAACCCATTTTTCTATCCAATTTCAGAAAATTACGTATACGAACATATCATGTTTCTCCCCTTGATGACAAATGCGGTATTATTGAATGGGTCGATAATTTGATGCCGCTTGTTGTCGCCGTCGAAGAAGCTAATGTCGCTGGTGGCTTTACAAAGGTAAACGCGAATGTTGCATTGATCAAAACGAGCGAGGGAAAAATAATTTTTTTTTACCTACTGATCCTCTGTAATCATGCTTTGTTCGTTCGAACTATGCGGGCATGTGTCTACTACCAGGAATGGCTGTAGATTTATTTTCAGTCGCGTATTAGTGTACGGAATAAAGCGTAAAATTCTAGACCCTTGCTGATATTGCACCGGTTCTGCCTATGTATTAACACAGTGGCAAAGTGTTTGCCTGCTATTAAGCTTAGGTATAGCTAATGCAATGAAATGTAAGTCGGCAACCGGCCAAGACCACGCGGTTTGTTTCGTACCAGCCGTCCTAAGTAGCACTAGTTGAATAAATCAATCATACGCAAACATCGAGACGTTAGCTATAGGCCTGCAAGGTCTTCAGCTGTGATAGGGCAGGATAATTCGATAGAATTAGTGAGTCATTTGTTTGACGTAACGTCTAACGATGATTCCGGACTATTCAGTACATCAAATACAATACTATAAGCCTACGATGATTGATTAAATATCTCCAATAGCCCTACAATTTCTTGGTTTCATTTTTAGCTTACTTCCCGCCATCTCGCACAAAAGATTCGTCCTGAAATGGATAAGCTGTTGCAAAGTGGAGACCATGCTAAGATGCGTGAGCTTCTAGAAAGAAATCTGGCTCTCTTTAAACCGTCGTTATCGTACTGGTTCCGTTGTAGGTTTCCTGACGCCCCATCGTGGTAAGTGGTTGTTGAATGATCGTCTGATATTTTTAAATATTCCTTGGAGAGTACGTGTCATTAGAAGAGTTTGCATACGTTAAAGTAGGTATCGTGTTTAATTCAGGTTCTTGAAGAAGTTTCATTTCAGTTTACAGTCAAAGCTAACCTAAAAATGGGAATGTATCATTCGTTCATTCACATTTTGTTATCGAATGTTCATTGACGTTTTATAGTTGACTGTGCATGAGTATATATAAACCCGCATGGATTATACGAATCTATCTACAAGCTACAGTGGGTCTGCTTTATATTAGCTTTCAACACGGATATTTTTCTCGTCTACATTACCCCTGCCAAATAACAGGTATCAGGCGCATACTCTGTTCGCGTCATCTGCAGCCGTTATGAGCATGGTGGGATTTATTCTGGGGCTGGGGGACCGACATGGTGAAAACCTACTCATCGAAACGACCTGTGGCCAGGTGGTTCATGTCGACTTCAACCTCATCTTTCTTAGGGTACGGTATTTGCTCGTGGTCTATAGAGCCTGAATGGAAATCTATTAATAATAATAATGGAAAACTATTGAATAGTAACAACGGCTAAAGGACGCCACTGCCAACGAAGCGCACAAACTTCAATCTTTCACTGACCTAAATGCCAGATGATATATGCTCTGTTATCGATGAGGTGTACAAATTATAATGTTTTTTTTTTATGTTTTGTGCATGTATTGTTACAGGGGAGAGACTTAGCGTACCCTGAAGTAGTTCCATTCCGCCTTACACAAAATATGATTGATGCGATGGGCCCCACCGGTTACGAGGGAACGTTTCGTAAATGCTGTCAGGTAATGTACAGGTTTCATAGATCTTATGTAATATTATATATCGAAATACTTATGTATGTGTTGTGCGTCATCGATTTAAGGTTCACTCGACCAGTTGACTTTAAACACTGATCGTGAACCCGCCCATTTGTATTTCCCATTACGCAGGTCACGTTGAAGATACTTCGCGCGCAGCAGGACGCGCTGATGAGCGTGCTAAGTACAATGGTACATGATCCATTGGTCGAATGGCGAAACAAACGGAAACAGGAACACCTTGCCTCGAACGACCATCCTGTAAGTCTTGCAGAATTGGCTTGAAGAGTTCAGATGCGTAATCTCTCAATCTCGAAATGGGACAAATGGAATTTTTAGCGGAAAGTATTCAATACACGAGTCAGTTGGAGAGATATAGGATATAAATATATCGTTTTGATTTATGTCGTCTCATTGTTTTCTGCCCTTGTCAAGAGCATCGACAGCAGGCCTTTGTTATCAGCAACGATCTGTAGAACCAAACTTTAGTTATCTTCGTTGATGCATATTCGTGGTACAGACATTTGGGAGCAATGTACGAAAGTCTCGAACAGTCATAATTATTAGATAATACTGTTTGAACTGAATATCCAACGTTATCCTAAAAGCTTCAACTTCTCCGTGTAACTCCTGTATTTCTATAGGGTCAACGCGAGCTAACGGAGATTGGATACCGTCTCAACGGGGTGTTCGTTGACCGGGGCCAGCAGCCTTCAGCAAGGCCTCTGTCGATTGAAGGGCAAGTGGCTTTACTAATCAATGAAGCGATCTCGCTCGATAAACTGGGTCGAATGTTCCCCGGGTGGGGACCCTGGCTCTAGACTGCTAATAACACATGAGAAAGCAGCGAGGTTTCCGTAAGGTTCCTATTAATTTTTTTGGTAGATTCACGAAAACGAGTCGGAGTGAAGTTGAACAAACTCTTTTGACAGTATTAATTTTATTCGACTTTCTAACCAAAGATGGATTAGCTTGTTTGTACAAGCGAAGAGGACGTCGAGAAGTGGTCATTGTACAACAATATAGAAAGCCTTTTTTTTTGAGATTTTACACAAACGCGTGCACCAGTTTAATGTGATATCGTGCACGTAAAACGACCTGGACTTCAATGAGGATACCTACACGTTCTGGCAGTGCGTGATAAATTGTGTTGTATCATTATTATTATAGCTTACGGGTTAAAAACATTCGGAACAATCATGCATCGTTTGCCGCTAAGCAGTTGTCTTGGGCCTCCTTTTTTAATCTATAATGAAAATGTAGTGAGCTACATATGATTTCAATGTACGTCTTATATTGTTGCAAATATGGCCAACATATTGAGACTTTTTTATGGTCGCATGAAAAAAATCAAATAAATATCCAAGTGTTGATGTGTTTCATATATATATATATATAAATATATATATATAAATATATATATATATATGTTCATCAAGAAAATCTCACTACTCAAGTCGAACATACGTTCATGTTAAATATTCATATAATGTCTATGAAAGTCGTGTGTTTTATTTATTGTTAATATTACTATTCCATATGTTATATTTTGTCGGATTAAAGGTGTAATTTAGATGTCTTTTTTTTTTGTATATAACGCTGAATTTGTCGTGCGGTGTCGATCCTTTTGGAAATAAAGTTATTGTCGCGCTTTTCGACTGGACAACAAGTATAATAATGATCGCTCTCTTATCGAAATGCCGACAACTTGTATCATCTGAATCAATATGGTATAGAAAAGTTTACGCCTTGACCGTCGGTTTACTCGTTTTGTGTTTTGATACAATTATCGATGTGCTCATCATTTGAATTACCAATTTTTTCGTTTTCAATGGCTACCTGAACAAATTCAAATTGACAATATGGCGTATGGGCCTACCATACGAAAGTCTCGTGTAGGATCATACGTAAACTAGCAATACTCAAGAACAAGTCCTTTCAGAAAAGTGCGCGCGAGAGATGATCATACCCAGTCGTAGTAACAAAGAAAGCTTTTTCTATAGAGAATATCAATATCGATGAAAATACAAAAAGAGAATTTGGATGGATATTTGTCGTTTTTCGACGAACCAACGCAATAAAAAAAGGTCAGGACATTTATCTACATACATTTTCTCTAGACAAGAGTAACTACTTTGCCGACGGGTCTTAATAATCTCCTGAAATTCCGGCTGGCCTATAACAAATATATATTTACTGCTTAGAATACATCATTCGTCTAATAATGCAATTAAGCAAAGTTAAATCGTTTCATAAAGGTCAACACACAATACAAATGAATGAAATTATTTTTTCTTGGTCTGCTAACTATTTCCAGTAGATCTTAAGGTTATCGCTGACTTTGTTTAGCGCGAAAACCGTAAACTGATTGGAATTTAACCTATCTGTGAAGTCTGGTTAAGGCAGTCTTCACATTCGTGAAGTATTTGGTTTATTCTAATATCCTACTACGTATTCAAAGTCATCAGCATCACTCTTTAGCTCTTTTGTGCTCTTTCGATCTTTAATTTTCTATGTAATGTTATTTATCGCGGATTATTAATAATTTGTGTCATAAGGTAAGCAAAACTCTATAAAGCTTTCCGTTGAAGCACCTTAGATACGATACACTTTACGCTGCCGTTAGCTATCGTGAGTTCTAGCTACCCCGTTGGGTCTTCTGTATAGTTTCCTGCATAATGATCTTTCAGTATGAATCCTTTGCCATTGAGATCATCTGTCCCACACATTACGACAGTGCTATACCTCATGGGGCAGAAGCCAGAACGGCACCTTTTTGTCGCTTGCTATGTCATATTATTGATACGAGTATCATCATCATCCCCCGGTATTGTACGCCGATAATGAGTCGTACGAACGTTTCGTAGCGATTATGATGCTGAGATAATCTTCAGTCTATCGGCTATTTTGCCGCTGTAGCACCAAGTGTGTGTCATCGCCCATACCGGTGTAAATTTTGCCAGCTTACCGGTCTGGGAAGTGTTATATTGTTGCCTAAATACGGGGACGTTTTGATCTTTACATCAACGTAAAACTGTCCTCCCGAAGAAAAATGACGTTCAAAAACGAGAATGGTCGAGATTCACGCAGAAGATTAATAGTACAGGCTACTGATATACGAGATACAGACGACGTCGAGGTTTTCTCATGGATGCTGTTGTTAACTTTGTAGACGGCGGTGATGATAATCATAACTCTAATTGTTTAAGGTCATAATCATTAACCTAAAATTTATGCTATTCTATGTGATAACAATATCGGGAAGATAATAGAACGGGAGGGGTGCCCACTTCTGCAAGTTCTGCGAGGGCTGATCAGCTCTCAGGGACAAGAAAGGGAGACAAGGCTCAAGTAACAGGGCAGGGCAAAACTCGAACGCTCGGAACACAGAAGGGCAGCGCGTTAGATCACAGAAGCAAAGCTGAAATAGCAAAAAAGATGAAACAGTATTACAATTAAAATTTAGATGACTGTGGTCATGCGGACTACGTGTCGGCTGTTAGATGTTATGTTTGATTATTATTATGTTATTTTTAGTGCGTTATATTATCGTATGTTACATTGATACTGTGCTTATATTTTTTACGTATTCATACGGTGCAAGCGTATCTGAAAACAAGAATTAGCATTGCGGTAGGTGGAGCTTAACCGTTTTCAATAGGGTCCACTATCGTTATATGTATATATATTTTTTTTCTATTTATTATAGTCATATATTTCTTTCTATATATTATAGTTATCTGGCGAATAACCCCTTTACTGACTCAAGTAAGTGTATGAAACAAGCTCTTGTAAAAATTTCTCATTGCTCATCGTAGGTTTTTTATTTTCTGTTGACATTAACGGTTAATGAAATTCAATGTTTTTTTTTTTCTATTAAATATAGTTTTCTGAGCTGCTATGACATCTTGATGCCTCGAACCGTTTGAATTGTTAAACGTAGCTTCCGTTGACGAAATTCTTTTGTTATAAAGGACGTCAGATTAGTAAATTACCAATTGATTTTGAAGGGGTTGAACTAAACGTTCGTCTCGGATCCCTTCCACAATAGGACAAAAGATTATTATATTTTTAAGAGCTGTATAATGGTATTACTGAATGATCAAAGTACATTAGGCACAGGACGCAGACCTTCAAAATAGAATATGAGGTTTTCAGTTCTTCTTTCATAGCGGAAACAGACAAAATGTAGAAGAAGATGGCCTAACAGAAAAGGAGACCGTTTCAAGTGTCAACTTCAGGCTCGATCCGGTGTATAAGATTCCGGACGTCCTTCTGTTCCCTATCTACCAAACTTCAGACCATGTGCCCCTTGCACAAGAGTAGCATATGATCCTGTACCTATGATCATATAAAGTGCAGCAGTCTTTCATGGAAGTTAGTGTCTCATTTATCTAATCCTCCCAAAACGTTCCCGTCATTTGAGCGTCGCTCATGTGGCAAAAGTCACAATAATGTAACATAACGTGAAAATCAACTATGAATTCAAACAAGAAAAACAATGCCCGATTGATTTGCGAAAATAGACAATTTTATCGTCAAAATTGTATCGGAAAATGGATCATTACTTGTATCCTTTCCGCCGTAGTCGCCATAGAATTTTGTTATATTGAATTGTCGAAAGAATACTAACAGTTCCAAGTTAAAATCGAAGCAAGCGTTTCTTATATCTTACCAATTTTATCAATGACTTTCTGCCGCTTTTTTTGGTCACACTGTGAAACTTCCGTAATGATAGAGCGAATATGATTTTTTGCAACCACTGAAACAACATATTACGCAAAATTGGACCCTATCGCGGCTATATGAAAGTGTAGTGTCCACATTTCACAGATCCAAGTACGATCGAGTAAAGCATTTTGCATTAGTTCGTGTGGTATATAAACATCTGAGTTTTTTTTTTTGTTTCTTTTTTGGTGTTTAATCGCTTAACAGTTCGGGCTTTAGCAATAACTTTGTTCTTGATCGATCAATAAACATATTCAAAATGGCCGTTTTTTCCGATGATCACGAGCAGCGAACTGACAGCGGATGAGCTTGGGTAGCCTCAATCGTAAGGATTTTTTTTTTTTACAGAAACTTCACTAATATTCAGGACACTTAATGTTAAATGGTACTGAACGTATGCCAACAATTGTAGCTGCTAAAGCGATTTTAAGTTAAACGACTTGTCCCAGCTTTAAAATGGCACCAACGCCGATCCGCGAGTCATATTAGCCGAGATACGTGACCTTAAACCCATCTAGCCAGAAGAACGATTAATGCTTTGTCCGCAACCAAATAGAAATTAATATATCGCCTAGAAAAACGTGTAGCACGGATCGACGATACTGCTAAACGGTATTAATTAGCGCCATTTGTCGCCATCTTGCTTAGATCTATGATTTTACACAGATAAACTGTAACACTGTCGCAGATGTTTGGCACCGCCGTACGTTTCGTACGGCACGTGATGACAAGCCTTTGAACTATCCGGAGCGTCCGGTGTATGCGTGCTCAACAAAGATGGCGTCTCCCGATTTCTTTTCGTAGCCATCGACATCCATCAAAAAGCGACGACGCATATAAATGACCCAGTTTTTTTTTCGAGACTCGTCACTATAATACAGAAAAATAAATAGATCGTATTGTCACCTATGGGAAAGTCGACAGAACTGGCTAACATCCCAGGTTTGAACTCAGACTTATTCCTTTCGTTTGGCATGAACAGAGCAATGACACCCCGTACACGTATGTAAACGAGTTTAACAAGCTTCTTTCCCTTAGCGAAGGTCACTAATAGTTAGAGATCACTGGATGAGTCTCTTTCTACCAATATGGTTTGTGCCAGTATGCGACGAAATGCGTTCGCATCATACCGTTACCGCTGAGACAACACCCTACTCTCAATGTGCAATAGTTGAAACTCTATTATTGGCTCTTAATCATCCGTTTTTATGTTTATCTCTTAAAGTGCCTTTTTCCTTGACGTGAGCAATGTTATCGAGACTTCCTCCGGCCAGTTCGTCCTTCCGTTGTGAATCATCCATTGTTTGACGTGTTTACTGGCGGTCCCGTGGCCGACCCTGAATGGCCTTCTACAAATGAAGGCCCGGTAGAAAAGACTACGCTAATTAGTCGATTGTCCCCAGCACGTTGCCAATGACGCAGTAGTTTAAAAAAAAAGTACTATTATACTGGTCTATCTATTGTTTAATCATAACCATCAGCTTAGTCTATATGTGTATATTCTATGCTTATTTGCTGGCCCGTTTGCTGGCCGAGTCGATTTGGTTATAGTGATAAGATAGTTAAAGGGCTGGCTGAACGATAATTTGCAGTGCATTAATGGTCGGATGACGTCGGTCGGATCTAATTTTTGCGGATGATAGTCATGTCGTTGCTCAGAGCAGGGGACCTATGCCTAGGTTGGGTGCTGTTTTCTAGAAGCGTTGTTAATTATTATGATGATTATTATTATTATCGTGGTCGAAACGTCCACGATCGTTGCAAGACACTTCAAAGCACTTGGGATCAATGGGGGCATATTGTAGTGGTGTACAGTGTCCGATAGAGCACAGTGGATGCCGTTATCTAGTACGCTAAGTTTTTGTCCATTAAGTTGTGGACTCTATTGAGAACAAATGGGTCAATGAGAGCTGCCTTTTGAGGCCGCCAACTTGATTCATGTAATTTTTTGGCGATGTCCAGCGGCATTAACGAACAGAGATGCCTGCAAAGTATAACGTATATTATTAGATCGTATCGATTTCTCTCTAAAACCCAAAAAAACTTGCAGAACATAAACTGTAATCAAACTGTCAAAGTAATGCCAGGAAGAAACACTACCGTCTCTAACTATTGAAGACTATTATATTGTATTTCTGATCTGAGAATGAACTCGTTGTAGTGGTTTCGCTACGTTTCATAGCTCTTCGTGAGGAAAGCTATATCAATTAATAGTTATAACTGTAACTTACGAGATAAAAGCGTACATTTGGTTGTCCCACCGTTTGGTAGTTAGTTCGGCTTACTATAGTGCTAAATGTTGCTTAATTTTTTTGAATCGTAGAACATTTTTGGAACTAAATAGATAAGCTTCCCGGAAATGTTTCTTACATGTTTTCTATGACACCTGACCTAAAAAGGCTGCGAGAATTCCAACTTAAAAAATGTGTCAGAAAAGGTTTTTTGGCCTAAAATTAAGAGATATTATATAATAAAAATACTAACACAATGATATACTACACACTATCGATACCGAATCAAAATAAACTGAAATTAACTAAAATGGCAACACTTATTGCGAACCTGACATTCGCAATATCTTTTTTTAAACCAGTTTATTTAGTCATTGTCTCAAACTCATTTGCTGCTGGTGTTTTATATTTCATACATTTAGGAATGTGTAGATATATATATATATATATATATATATAAGATTATCTTCCACAACGAATAGCCCACCACCGTATTCGCGTGGCATCCGTCAGATCGTGTCCGGCGGTGATGGCGTCCTCGCAAGAGACTAGCCGTACCGCGAACGTTCGAGGAAGTCATTTAAATAGACGATGTTAACGGACCACCATTGAAAACATCGTAAAAAAGTATGATTTTAAGTATGAAAGGCAGACGAGGTTGAACCTTCTGCCCTAGTCTGTATGGGTACGCGAGTAACCTCTAAAGGTCGAACATTCCTACGATCGCTGAAATACGGCCTGTGCTTTGCGCACACGCCGCTTGAATAGCGTGTTACTTCGTTGCCTTCCATGCGAACTGTGAAAGCGAAACAGAATGCATCATACCGCATATTCAAAGGGCCAC